TCTGGATGAACGAAATGGAATTTGTTCTTTGTCTTTATACATTAATAATTGCCTCACAGTATTTTCCCATGCGACTGTTTTATCTGTGAAATGTTCAGTGATTGGATATTTATCCGCTTGGTCTAATGCATTTTTCTCCAACCAGTCAATTATTAACTGGTATTCTCTAATGTAACTTTCAGTTTTGAACAAATTATCTATTACAACCTTTTCTGATATGTATGTATTATTTTCGACTGGAGTAGGAAAATTGAGACTATTTATTCTATTTTGGTATAAACAATAAATAAGTCTCCATGTGTTCCTTTCATTTTCTAAAGAAATTTCATCTTCCGATATTTCAGTAGTTTCTACTTTTGACTGCATACCTAAAGGATAAAAAATATATAATTATATGCAAAATATAATACTAAAATACAAAGTCAATACATACACTATAATTTTCTATGTACCTCTCATTATATCTAACGTGTCTGTGCAGTTTTGTATAAAATCTGCAATAGTATCAAATACCTGTGCCTGTGAAAAGTTTGCCTGTAAACTATGTAAGAAATCATAGAAGAGTTTAGACATAACATCTCTCCAAGGTTCCCTTGCTTTTAAAATCATGCCAGTCGCACTACTATCTTCCATCATTTCTCTCAAGGTAAATTCACTTTTTTCTGAAGCAGCCATTATATCTCGTACTTCATGAGGAGTAAGCGTTAATGAAGTATCAATATCCAAAAGATCATGAGCCTTAATTAATCTTGAATGAAGATAGGATTTACCCGACATCCTTGAATTATTGATGTCATTAAAGTTATGAGAATCATCCACATCTTTTCGTAAATAATTAGTGTTTTGTAATGATAATCTTTTAGAAGGTGTACTTTTTCCGCTTAACCTCAAAAATGACCTTCGTTGAGCGTTTTCTTGACTAAGCATTTGAATAGATTGCTCTAAGTTCTCATTGCTATTGTTTATGGTATCCATTTTGAAACATAGACTTAAAGATCTAAAAACGTTTATGCCAGACTACTTATTTCATTCAGATAGAGAATATTCACAACTGTAGGATATTTAACAATCGTACCGGTTTTCAAATTCACAGTAGGTACTAATGGCGGGATGGGGATAGGGAATTATTCCAATGTAACGAAATTCCCTACATCAGTATCGCATAAAGTTCACGATCGAGTACAAAATATGCACTTTTTTATATTTACGTTGTAATGTATTGTTAACATGTAATATTTAATATGATTATATTTTCTTCTCTCATGTCGGACATGTATGTTAAAAAATAAAAGTATTACAAAGATTTTATAAAATGTAATCAAGTAATAATCTCTCAATATTCTCTATTTTAAAAGAATCGACTTTATATCAATTTTATACTATATGAAGCTTTGTACAATTGGATTGTTATCATAATAGATATGGGTTTTGATCTATTGTTTCATCAACGTTTATTTATATATATATAATATTAAAAAGTATGTCAAAACTATACTCCTCTAAGCATCAGTTCGAACTCTACCACCATACTCGTCGCAAGGTCGTACAGTTGTAAAGACTTAAAGAAATGGCGACTCGTCTGCTTAAAGTTAGTTCCGCATTGCGGGCTTATTCTAACAAAACCAGCCTTGTAAAGGTAATAAAATTCAAGTTCTATCATAACGTTGCTATTATTATTAAGAATAATTTCTCGAACTTTACGTTCAATTCAATATGATTTTCTCAAGCTGAGGAACCATTGAATCCATTTACTGCTTACGTAATAAGAATGAACTTTTTAAATGTTTGTAGAAACAAAAGAAATATGATGAATTATTATTAATGAATAACAAACAGAATTCAGTAAATCGTGTTCTATGATATATATAGAAATACTTGTATCAAGCTATCATAACCTTAATTCATGTTGCACAACGGTGTCGTAAACAGAGAAATTTAATTTTGACAGATATCGTTTTCTATATTATTAAAATGATCACATCAATTTCATTTCAATAATTTATAATGTTATCAAATTTACAATTTGTACAATCTTTTAGTTATTATTTCAGCCTATAAAATTAGTTTTGTCAAGATTATTAATATTGATATATCGTTTAAATAAAATAAACCAGCATAAAATGAAATTAATCTTTTACACTTTTGTCCTTTTAGTTTTCTTTGTTATATGTCTATAGTTATATTTATATCAGGTACCAAAGCAATGGCAATCTACATCAGCGTCATTAAAAGAAATATTGTTGAATCAACCACCAACACAAGTTACAACTTTAGATTGCGGTATGAGAATTGCTACTGAAGACAGTGGTGCACCAACAGCTACAGTGGGATTATGGATCGATGCTGGCAGTCGCTTTGAGACCGATGAAATTAATGGAGTTGCCCACTTTATGGAGCACATGGCTTTTAAAGTAAGTAGTGGTGTTCAAGTTTACTTGAAATAAAATGTTAAAAATGACAATCAAAATGAGAATGTAATTACGAACAGGGAACTACTAAACGTTCACAAACTGATTTAGAATTAGAAATTGAAAACATGGGTGCTCATTTAAATGCATATACAAGCAGGGAACAAACAGTATTTTATGCTAAATGTTTAGCAGAAGATGTTCCAAAAGCTGTTGAAATTTTGAGTGATATCATTCAAAATTCAAAGCTTGGTGAAAGTGAAATCGAAAGAGAACGTAGTGTTATTCTGAGAGAAATGCAAGAAGTTGAAACAAATCTGCAGGAAGTTGTTTTTGACCATTTACATGCTAGTGCATATCAAGGTACACCTTTAGGAAGAACGATTCTTGGCCCTACTAAAAATATTCAAAGCATTACAAGAAACGATCTTGTTAATTATGTTAGGCAATACTATGGTCCACCTAGGTAATTACAACTATCCATAAAATAATTTTATTATACATATATGTATTTAAAAATTATTAAAATATCTTCACAGATTCATTTTAGCTGGTGCAGGTGGTGTAAATCACAATCAACTAGTAGATTTAGCTCAGAAGCATTTTGGCCAAATGAAAGGGCCATTCTATGATGAAATTCCACCTTTGTTAGAACCATGCCGTTACACAGGATCAGAAATAAGGGTTCGTGATGATAGTATACCTCTCGCACATGTTGCTATTGCTGTTGAAGGTGCTGGTTGGACTGATCCAGATAATATTCCTCTTATGGTTGCAAATACCCTTATGGGAGCATGGGACCGTAGCCAAGGAGGAGGTGTAAACAATATAAGTTTCTTGGCTGAAGCTTCTGCAACTGATGGATTATGCCATAGTTATCAAAGCTTCAATACTTGTTACCAAGTACTTGTTATTAATTTATATTACTGCATATGTATATAATATTGTACATTAATCATGTGTTAATGTGAGATATCTTCTTTATAGGACACAGGACTTTGGGGTGTATACTTTGTGTCTGACCCAATGGAAATTGAATGGTTTGTACATAATGTACAACGTGAATGGATGCGATTATGCACGTCAGTGACTGAAAAAGAAGTAGAACGCGCGAAAAACATTCTTAAAACAAATATGCTCCTTCAATTGGATGGAACAACTGCAATTTGTGAAGACATTGGGCGGCAAATGCTTTGTTATAACCGGCGCATACCACTTCACGAACTTGAAGCTAGGATAAATGTAAGTAACATTCACATATTTTTTATGTTTTAAATATCTTATCAATTCTCATATCAATAAAATTATTTGCAGAGCATAACTGCCTCAAATATTCACGATATTGGCATGAAATACATTTATGATCAGTGTCCAGTAATTGCAGCGGTTGGACCAGTTGAAAACTTACAAGATTATAATGTCATTCGTTCCGGCATGTATAGATTACGAGTGTGAACATGTTACCATCAATAAATTTAGAACAAGTTATAAGTAACACAGACCTTTTAGCAAAGGAATTGGCATTAAAGTGAGACTATAAAAACTCAAACTATTTGTAATTATAAAATATAATCATAACTATAATATCAAATTATTATTGAAGCTACGTAAAAAAATGCTGTATTTAATCTTTAGTGTGATATTTTATAGTCTTATTTTAATCCTGGTGAATAAACAGTACATTTCCAAATCATGTATTATCTGGCTACAATATAACAATAAATTCATCCTCGAAAAGTTTATTTGTTGACTTGTAATCTGCAGTAAACGAAAATTGTATATAATGAGTGAAATTATTTCAAATAGTCATAATCCATTTTAAGTTATTTATAAACAAGTTTTTATCATGGCAATTGGTTTATTGTGTTTTATTAATTTTTAAATTTGTACTCTTTTTTTCTTTTTTTTACAATATGCGATGTTATCTATTTTTATTATTAGTACAGTGTTATTCATAGAAAATGTTTTTAATTTTTAATGCAATATATGAGAACATTACACAAACATCTTAATGACGCAAAATTATATATACAAATATATATTTTATAAAATAATTTTATAAATACAATCTATTTATAAAATTAATATGTATCATAAATAATCTATTTATAAAATTATTAGTCTATTTATAAAACTTGATGTATAAAATTACTTGAGTACAAGTGTTAATCTGTACATTTAAAGATATATAAACTAATTTTAAGACATACAATTGTAAAAACATAACTTGTATGTTTATACATTAATTACTTACTGTTACAATTAATTATTGTAATAATTGCTGTAACTATTTACCCACAAAAAGTATAGATTTTCAAAATCTAATTATTTCATTTGTTACGCATTTAATATGGCTAACCAGGGAGAGAGATATAGTTACATTAATAAGATATCCTAAAGTAGGAAAATATAAAATATTTTCAATATTATAATTAAAGAACTTAAGCACTGTACATAAAGCATTTGTTGAAATTCTTTGATTCTGTAAATTGGAAAAAAACAAATATTATCTTGTGGTATCCTAGCAATAAAAATTTTGCAACACTTTTTGAAAGGCAATAAAATTGTATGGTCATTATCTATTTTACTTACATTAAAGCAAATTTGTTTCATTCTAATTTGGTTATGACTTCATGCATTTATTAAGCTTACAACTATCTAGCATTACTTGATGGTGCTGTTGCTTGTGTTGGTGATGCAGTATCCTTGCAAACTTTAGCAGTCATTTCAGCCAATGGTTCTAATTCTTTTGTATTTATTAATTCAAATTCTGTTACAAAATAGTAAAAGTGTTTGTAACATGTATTTACATGTGCTTCCTAAAATAGAAATATTTTAAATTACATTTTAATATAATAACATTTATTGAGCATGTATATGAAACTTACCGCTCCTATTGCTACGATACGATCAAAATGATGTATATAGACATGGACAAAAACTCTGAACAAACGTGTCAAAATTTTCCTACAGAGTGGTACAAATGTTTTTGGAAATGGTACATCTAAAAAGAAATTTTTACATATATAAGTTATCAAATTACCAAATATTAAAATTTTTTAAAACTTTATACCTGTTGATACAGGAAAAATGGTTTCATTATTAATTTGTGCTTCAATCCAATCCATAAGAAGGCTAACATATTGTGGTGCTGGGAGTGCAGTAGGTTTTTTATATTTTTCACCATCTGCCCATAAGTATTCAAAACGTGCTCCGCCACTCATTGTCGGACAAGACGCAGAATCGCAATATTCAGATACGGTACCATATATCAGATTTATTCTATTAAAAAAGTCTACCACTGAAATTATATTATTATTTATAAAGATTATGACCTTTTAAGCCTTTTTGTTATATAATAGATAGTAAGATTAATAGAAAATTTCAAATACCATGAACTGCAATCCAATCGTTCAGATCTTCTCCTGGTGGTAATTTCACAACAGATCTCAAATTAATTCCTGAATTCAATGAAGCTTGTGCTTGTTTATGCAAAGAATATCGTAATGTGCCATGAGCAAATTTCTTTTTTGGCCTAAATGTCTGAAATGTCAAATAATTAAAAATCCATTATTAAACAAATTTATTTTTAAATACCTATACAATGAATAAAGGGAAAGATATGAATTAAAATTTAATTCACAAGACTATGTAAAAAACTTTATAAAGTTTTAATAACTTTATGTAGTTTAAATAGAATGCATTTAAGTATAAAAATTGATCGGTAATATCAGGTTAGAATTTTTGTTATATTTTAAAAGAATGTAACATAAACAGAAATTTACATTCACCTTCCCTTTTTGAAAAAATTCCATAAAACCACTTAACGCAGTCATTATGGTCAAATATACAGAAAACCTGCACCTCTTTCGCGAGTAGCGAGGTAACCGGTAGTACAAAGTATTCACTCTGTCTTCTTACATGTGCTAGGAAATCCTTGTATCGTATGTATGTATAAATCTTCACTACATTATTTTCAATTTATTTACAAACATTAGAATGAAGATAAAATGCTGAAATATTTATCATATATGTAATATTATTTCTTTATAAATAAATTTTAAAATTAGTGCTCTAGTCAAATATACAATAAAATGAACAAATGTAAGTGATTTAGGATATATGATGATACTTTCAAATATCTTATTCATTGACCAAGTAGTTTATGTAAGACTCACATTATTACAGTAATTTTAAGATATCTTGAATATGTATGATTAAGATTTTATGAAAATTATATTATTTCAAGAAAAAATTATATCTAAAGATAGAAGGATTTATATATATCTAAAGTTAAATAATAATGTACAAAATCAAGTGGATTTAAAGAAATTAAATAATTGCAAATTAAAAATTCAAAACATCGATATTTAAAAGAGAAAAAAAATCATAATAAATATCTCTTATATTTATATACATAAATTTATCTGACTTTTTTTTATTTATATATATAATTTTCTATAACTCATATAAAACATAAAATACTAAATACATATAATAAACATGTGAGGGAAAGATATATATTAATATAACAATGATAAATATGTAAATATGATTATTGACCTAAATTAAAAAAAATTGCTGTAACTTTTATACAGAAATGGTTTTATTACATAAACTAGCAGTTTGATGCACTAAAGTGAAGAAGTAAATATTTTGCCCTATACATCATAACCATTCATGTTTTTCCTGAAATAAAATATTTGTTACATGACGATATACATATATTATATATATCTTATATAATATATATATGTAATATATATATAATATATAGTACTAATAATTATTCAATTTTTCATATAATATATAGTACTTATTAAAATATTGTATACTTTTTTATATAATTGCATCTTTATGTAATCGGTACATACAGGTAACCACTAGTTCTCTGTTGTATACTTAGCAATTAATTATTTTATTTATAAATGTACATCTTGTTTTAACCTTGATTAAGAAGCTGTTATACAACAAAAAAAGTGACCTATTGTTTACGGATTATAATTCTGTAATAATCAATAGTTAAACAGATGGAATGATCCCTTTATGCTATTACAGTATTTTGTAATTACGTTTTATTGAAATAAAAGCTGTATATTTCTATCGTATTTCATTACTAATCATCAATATTAGTAACATTATCATAACATACAATTTTACAAAGCATTTTTTTACATTGAAAGTTTACATGCAAGATGTAGTTTTTGTGTCCAGCACGTGTTACCTAGAAAATTCATAAAACAAATAATATATTGATGCCATTAAATGCATCACAGTCTTCAGAATTCAAAATCTGTTTTAGTTTCATAAATATAAAAATTATATTAATATTTTGTTTGTCCTTAATCAAATGTTTTAAATCTAAAGACATGCATGTAACAGTAACATTTACCATAAAGTGCATTACTACATACATGAAACTATTATAGTTGTTTTTCTTGCAAACACTTTTTACTTTACAAATTCGTTTACAAAAAAAAAATTTATAATAATATCGCACTATGGAGGTAGAAACATAATCTAAAGAAGAAAATATAATAGCTTTCTAAATTAGTACCCAGTAAAAAGGTTGTATTCATAATTACATACATTAATCATATTTGTTTGTGCGGTTATTACAGCTGTTTAGAGCCTTCCGCTTTTTTTTCAGGTGGTGGAACACCGGGAGTCAACGGAGGATTTCTGACTGGGTCAGAATTGGAATTGCTCTTAAAAACTGCAGCTGACTTCTCTCTTTCTTTTTCGGATGAATGAGCAGCAAAACTTTTATTTGATTCTTCAACAGTTTCTTCTAATTCTTCTTTGTCGAAACTCTTCTCAGTCGTCACTGGTGTAGCAGGAACTGGTGATTTAGGTGGAATATATTTTGTTTGAGTACAATTTCCATCTTTAAGTTCACTTGCATCTTTTTGTACCGCTTTCTCGGTCTGCCCTTTATCTTCCAAGATTTCTTCTTTATCAATCAATTCAAGCAATTCATCTACTTGCTTTTTACTTAACTTAATATCTTCTTTACCAATTAATTCCACCACCTTAAAATTACGATATGCAATTAGTATAAATTTTCGTTATTCAATTATTTATTCTATATTATATATTATACCTTTAAGACATCTTCAATTTTTATAGATCCGTCCCTATCGTCGTCAATTTTTGCTAGAATTTCGGCTATGCGTTGTAATCGATGCTGATCAGGTACATTTTGAATCTTTTTAATTACTGAAATTAATTCATCTATCTTAACTAATTCTTCAGCGGTTTTTGAAACAGTAATTTCCTCTTCGCCAACAGTATTCTTTTGTATTTCTTTCATTTGTTTTTCAGATTCAAGTTGTGTCAAGACTGCATCCATCTTATTAATCATCTTATTCACTTTCTTAAACAAACGTGTAGCACCTTTGGATACCTTAATATTTTCTATATCTTCTTGGCCTTTAGCAGCTGCTTTTATTTCATAAAGTTCTTTGATATCTTCTTGGTACTCTGCCATTTCTTCCTTCAACTCTTTCAATTCTTCTTTTTCAACAGACATTTTCTTATCCTTTATAAAATTGGATACACAGTTATCTTTTAAAAATAGTAATAAAAACTACTAATCTAATACTACCATAAAAAATAATTTTCACATACCTTCCCCAGAGAATCTAAAGCCTGTTCTATTACTTTTACATCTGAATTTGTAATCTCGTCGGTTTTATGGTTTTGGACAACAGTGGCGATTTGCGGTTCTTTCTCTTGCCGCTCCTCTTCGATTTTACGTTCCTCCATTTTAATAATTTCAATATTCGTTTTATGGTCCATCTTACCCTCTTTCTCTCCTATTGCGCCTTGGGTACGTGCAACAACAGTATCAGGAAGGGCAGAAATGGTAGCCTTCAATTTGTCTGACATAGGTATCGTTTCGGGGACCATAAGCGCGCGCGAAAGAAGCAGTAACGAAGGTGGAACTTTTTTATTTAGACTTAAGTCTAACCATTGAGACAATTGTTCCTTTAACTTGCTATCTGGTAATCCATACGCTCGCATTCCGCGGGCCCTGCACGCTTGTTGTAATTCAGTTCTAGTAAGTGAGTCTATACCTTCTTTTTCAATTAGCTGTAAAGGTAATATTACCATATTAACATTAATTACTATTTTCGAAAAAGCTTATTATGTGCATATACATAATAATTACTTTGTCATCTGCAGTGAGACTTCTAAGTCTCATTCTAAGTAAAAATCGTAAAAAGTTTGATGTTCCAAGAGTTTGTACATCTAGTACTCTACATAATGCAACTAATTGTGGTCGAGTAAGAGAATCTAATGTAATCTCGTCTTCGAAAAGTTTGCTGAATTGCATAATTTCTTCGTTACTGGCTACAGCACCAGACGATCGTACTTTATAAAAAAATTCGGCAAATTCTTTGGCTCTTATCGATTTATAACCAGGTGACTGCACTGCCATATCATCCAATGTCTGTTGCAGAAACTTCGCCATTTCAATTTTCATCTAAAATTCAGAAAATTATATACATATGCAACTTATTAAGAGAATTGTTACTAAATATTATAGAGATGATACCTTCAGTGCTTGTTTTAGTTTATCCTCTTTCTCTGTTGCTGTTTGGAAAGTAGATGGTAATAAACCAGGGAAAAATTTAATAACAATTGGAAGTAAAAATTCCATGAAGGGTACAATAATAAAAACAGAGAAAGGAATAAGTCTGAAGACATCCCCTGTTGTTTTTATAAGCTAAAAATAATTAAGTTAAATAAATCATTAAAATAATTGAATGAATATAACTTACAACTATCATTTATAGTTATACACAATTCGTAACTTACAAGTCTATGTTCTCTTCGGCTGAGTTCATTACCCTTCAAAATTCTCCATATCAGCTTTGCTGAAATTTTCATATCAAGACCTAACAACCTAAATCCATGATAATAATGTATAATTTCTCCTTTGACTTTTTGCCATACAGTTAGCTTCTCTACTTTTTCCACTGATTTTGAACCACTCTGAACAATAGATTCTTGTGCTTTATTTTTTATTTCTTTTTGTTCCTTAATATTTCTTACAGTGTCTTCCACTTTGGAAGATGATTCTTGACCATGCCAAGTTGGTGTAATATAAAATGAACGAGACTGTACATATGACAAGTTATTACTATTGCAGTTCTCTGTTATCGTTGAATGCAATAATAATCTATTATTCCTGGTATCTCTTCTACCCATATAAATAAATGCTAAGTTACCATTTATTCGATTGGTATTATACCATAGTTTAAAGCAGTAATATTCTGTAATAAATATACTTTATAAAGCATTTAGATGTAAGATGAAGCAAAGCACGAGTATAATTCGAGATATTTTAATATTCATCAGTTTCAATGACATATATGTTGTAATAATATCGATGTAATATCTATTTCACAACATAACCTACAATAATCAGATAGATCATTAACAAAATGTCAATGCAAAGTAGAAAATTTATGTTAATTTATCACCGATATTAATAGCGTCAACTACAGATTCGCCTGTTACATAAACATAGCGTGTACAATCTAGAATATATGTATTAAAAAATGTTACAATTATTATTCAATTTATTATCGAATAAAAATAATTGTACATACGGCGAATTGTTGTTCTGTGGCCAAATACCATCCTTTTTGTATGAATTAAAGAATTCATTTTGTACTACAATATTTGTTTGTAATTTTTGTAATTATTTCGAAGCCGTTTTTAACTGCAATGTGGTAAAATGCCTCACCGTCATACATTTTCCAACTTGAACATAGTGATGAGAGAACAAAGATCAGCTAGTGTTGAACTAGTATATCACTATTTTTAGTGTAATAATTAATATCTCCGTTAATACCGATCTAGGATTACTTCTTTCAATATATTTTCTTTTTAGAAGTATATTTGCAATGAAATATACATCATAATTTCTCCAGAAAAATAGTTTTTGTTTATTTATATTGTATTCTTAACCGTTTAAGAACA